CCTGCTCCCGCTGCTCCCCTTCCCGCCCCGCAGCACCAGCTGCGATCAGCCCATTCAATCGCGACATAACTTTGTTTCCCTTAGTGTTGGTACTTGCTTAGTTCCCATTTACACGTCAAATCTACTATTTCAGAACACAAACATCAACCCCCTTACGAACTGCTTCCCAGCTATAGTACACACTGGAAGACTGAATATATCAGCATCTCTTTAGAAGTCTTATTTGATTATTAAAACAACCTAAGACTTGTATCATAGAGTAAAATCTTCCCTAGGCGTTAAAAATAGTATTCACTAAAAAAAAAATCTCCCTAAGAAACGTTAACATGTTTGATAATTTTGATTTTTTTAAACATGGAATCAAGTCACCATCTTCCTGCATTCTTGCAGAATTAAATCCTGTGCCCATGAAATGGCTCTGGAACAAAGACACTAAATAACTGGAACAAATTGTGGCTATTTGATATTGTTCAAAATGATAAACATGAAGTCATTTGTCACTTGCCTGATTAATCATGGTTTTATAAGGAGTTTCTGAAACAATATTATTTGGTAACATCAAAGAGCTGTAGCCTCCTTGCATATGGGTGGGAAAAGCTCACGGACTCCAGGCTGGATCTGTACCCATCTCTCCAGTGACGCTGCACTTGCACAAGACACTCCAGTAACTCAAAAAATCAATATAGAAGATGGAGAGAGGCGCAACAGAGAGAAAGCAAGTGGAGAAAGGGGACAGCACCCAAAAAGAGTGGATTTCTGTCCCAATACACGGGCATTTTTCTCTGGATCCACTGCCAAATAAAAGTAATTTTATTTCAGAGGCTATGTGGTACACAACTGCAATGGTAGAGAAGAAGAAATGAACCAAGAATTTCCCTGGCTACCAGCAGCAAGTTAAAGCAATAAGTAGGTTTTTAAGGATGAAAACTCACTGAAAAACTGAAATATTAAGGACCATCAATGGTTAAGTGGCACTGCTTTCCTATGTCTGCTGTACCAAAAAAAGAAGGGTCGTATCAGAACAATAAAAAGGAAACTGTGTGTTTGGGGAGGCTAGGAAACAAGGGTCAGTTAATATTAACATTAAATTCCAAGGTAACAGAATTCTAAGTGAAACACAATCAACCAAAGTACAAATATATCCCCTCAACACATTGTACAGATGGATGGGCAAGGTCAGCAGAACAGCTAAATGAAGTTCAGAGTAAAAAAAAAAAAAAAAAAAAAAAAAAAAAAAAAAAAAACAAAAAAAAAACACACAACAAAGTAAATTAAGTCTGGAATAAAGAGGTTTGTCCATGGAAAAAAAGGAAAAAAGCCAAACATAACTGGCTGGTGATGAGTGGGCTACTGGTTCTTTCCACCTTTTGAAACTTCATGTTATCCATACATGTTTACAAGAACATCAAAGGATGAGGTGTTAATTTTATTCTGTGAATGAAGACTAATCTGATGAACTGAAAGGAAAAGAAATGATTTTGAGAAATCTTTGATGTCCCTTCTGGAAACAAGGTGTTGCTGAAGATGGGTTGAGGATTCTGGGTGGGAAGAAGAATGAGGGATGCTGCTGAAAAACTTGGGAGAGCTGAGCCAGCTCTGCTTGGTCAGCATGGGCCGAGAGAGGGTTGCAGGGAGTGGGTCAGGGCTGGCAAGGGTCACCAGACTGAACAGCCCATCTTGTCCCACACCTGAATCCCACTGCTTCTCCTCAATGTATGAACAACTGACTCCAAAAGCACTGGAGTTAAACAGAGCTTTACTTCCCTATTCCAAATTGTATTAGCTGTCAAGGATACAAATCCTTCCTGAGAAAATAAAGAAAATTAACCACAAGCCGCTCACCACCCCTTGATTTATTGAGCTGGAGGACCATGGCCATCACCAATGCATTCAGCTGTTCCTCCAGAACACTCGCAGTGCAAAGGGCTCATCTCAGCTTTCAGCCAGTTGTAGGGCTGGTTCCCACCAGCAGACCTGAACTGATGCTCCTGTCTCCAAAGGTCTGGGATCAGCTAGCTACACAAACTGGCAGAAAGGAACCATTTTGTACCACTGCAGTGGTTTGAAAATACCCCAATGTAACAAGGGATGGTAATTTGGATTTGTTTCTTTTATCCAGTATCAGTTGCAGTGAACAAGACTCACTATGCTTTATATAAATTACAGATTGATGAGTAGTTTACTCACAGCCAGAGCAGGCAGCCAACACGCGCACCCTGCACACAGGGATGGACCTCACAAGCAGCATTAACATGTGTGCAAGTCCTGGTACTGGCTATGCACCTGAGCAATCAAAATCTAGGAACAAGGTTATTGCAGTGCAATGTGGGGCAATGCCACAGTCACACAGACCTGTTTCAGGTTCCAAATTAATTTATGGTTTATCTTTTCAAAACCTGCTCCATAAGTGACCAATTGCCTACTGACTCCAGGATGGAACCATGAGCCAAGCAGACAGAAGACCAGTGGAGATAACTTCTTTTTCAGTGCTAGCAACCCACAAATGTGATGGCAAAAAGAGCATCTGACAGAAGTGTGTCAGAAATACACCAAATGCAGTGTCCATCTCCAGTCATAAGAAGGTCCCTGAAGAAAGTAATGACATCCTCCAGCAGCTGTGATTTCACAAAGAGAAATGCTGAGGCCACACTAGCAAACCTTTCACCAAACCACGAGTATGTTGGGTGGGTAACGTGGGCTCCATTCACTGCCCTGCAGCTCTACAAGTCAAACTGCTGTGCTTTGGGCTCTCAGTTTAGAAATGAGGCCATGAATCATCTGCTTCTCTGACATACTACAATAATTAATCCAGTAAGGCAAACAATGCCTGGGAACAGTGTAAAGTAATACTTCGAAACCGGAGATGAGAGCTGTATTCATCAGTATTCCCACTCAGAGAAAGTGGCTTAACAAAATGCACCTGTCAAATTTGATTAGAAAGTGGGTGATAACATCAGCCTTACGTCTCATAAGTAAAAGGCAACTCTGCAAGGCAAAACATGCCTTCACTCTCACTTTCCCTGCTTTTCCCTTTCCAGCCTAAGCCTGGAAAAGACCACAAACTTTTTTCACGTGACATAATTAAACAGAAGTCTTTGGACCACAACACCACAATGAGTCCACTATAAAGGGCATAAATGATTTCTTTCGATGCTTGATTGTCATTCAACATCACAGAGAGACAACAGGGAGAGATTGTAGGAAAGAGACTCAATTGTTTTATGGGAGTCATTCTATTTGTATTTCATCATGATCATATATCAAGGAAATGATTATTTGATGAAATGTGCAGCTGTACAACTGCATAGCCTGTATATACTCCAAACAACTCGCTACAATCAACCTCTTATCTTCCTCTTCTCACTTCACTCCTGAGCAATTCCAGCAGCCTCAGAAGATGCTGCCTTTCAGAAGTGCCTTTAAGGTTTCAACTTACTAACAAGCTCACCTTTATCTTCAAGGCCATAGTCCAAATGTTCCAGCCACTTCCCTCTTTCCCAAAAGGGAGAGAATGATGAAAAAGGGCTGTAATATTTTTGTAATTTTAAAGTTATCAGAATCCATTTCTGAGTAAAGATTAAAGCAGGAGCAGAATGGAGGCTGGATTATTAAAGTACTGACATGGAGGCTATGACAAATGACTAA